TGTCAATGGCGGTCCCTATGAGAGCGCCGGAGGCTCTTCCAACAACCTGGCACTTCGCGAGAGAGAACTGATGCTTAGGCAGAGAGAACTCCAGATCAGAGAGCAGGAGATGAACATGCGAGGCGGACGTGGCGGTCCAATGGGTCCCGGCCCTATGGGACCTCCGATGGGTCCTCCGATGGGTCCGATGGGTCGTGGTCGGGGACGTCCTCCGCCACCCCCATCAATGGGCGGATTTGATGACGATGATGACGATGGCGATGACTTCTTCGATCCCATGGGCGGTCGTGGAGGCCCAATCATCGACCCCGACAACTTCGACATGATGAGCGTCACGTCGCGTCGCAACCGCTCAGCACCCAGCGCCAAGCAGATTCGTCAAAACCCTGAGGGCGCAGGCTTCGCGCCTGGACCAAACCGGGGCGGCAGGGGCCCATTTGGACGTCCGGGGATGAACAAGAATCGGAGTAGTGCTCGGTTGATGGCAGATGTTCCTGGTCTCCACGACTCTATCATGAACAATCCCCTCATGGGCTACTCCTCCGACCGCTACGGACACGTCGATCGCGGTGCTATGGGCGCGCAATCCAGAACCAACTCACTGACATCGGCTCGTCTAGATGAGCTTTCAGGGGGCGCAGGCTACGGTGCTTACCCTGCACCAAACGCCCGTCGCATGAGCCAGTCACCTGGCAACCCGCTCAGTCCGGGCCCGCGACCCATGGGCCGACCCTCGCCGCCAAACGGCTTCAACGGCATGCCACCAAACGGCATGGCTCCCAATGGCATGGCTCCTAACGGCATGCCCCCAAATGGAATGATTCCTAACGGGCGTCCATCGCCTCCTGGCATGAGGCAGCCCATGCCACGAAACCCTGGAAACGAGGTGGCACCACAACAAGTTGAACAACACGCTGGGGTGAGCAATCTCTACCCGCCCAAGTCTCGTCCCCAAGTTCGCAGTCTGACTGGAAGCGCATCAAATAGTTCCGCTAGCGCAAAAGCAGTAGATTCCACGGAAAACTCTGCGCACAGCAGCCAAAGCAGCCTTGGACCCCGTCCCCCGGTTGGCGTTCGGTAATTGGGATAATGTTCGACTTAGATTTGGCGGCCATCCGTTTTGAATGTTGGCATCTGGCATGGACACTGTTTCAACCTCGACGACATTGGCGAAATCATCTACTGGTCCTCACTCGACACACATCCTTTCTCGTCTAAGACAGCTAGCGAAGCAGTCTAGACGTCTCTTTCGACACCTTTTTCCACAAACACGTATACGCACCGAAGCATCACCATCCGGCCGACAAGACTCTCCATGGCGGTCCGGGAGGCTTCATGGACAGCCAGAGGCTCGTCCAGATGGTGGATGTCCTAATGACGAATAGAATTGGGCCGGCAAGGGACACATTTGACGTACACAAACCGGCCTCGCACGACTGAAGCCTTTGCTTTCGGGTTTTCTCTTTTGTCTATATCGTACATACTTGTAGAACGCTCTTACGGCGGCGGCAACAGCCTCCCTTTTTCTCCTTCACACACAGACTGTGGCAGCCCGCTAATCATGTTTTCCTTGTTTGCATGGGTTTTATGCTCAGTGGAGGTTGGGTTATTTCCCTTTACCACTTGTTTGCTATACTACGGAGTTTGATACATGCATATGGATTTTGCTTGCTTGTACCTTGTCATTCATTTTTTCCTTTGTTTGCCCCCATGGGCTTATCCTATTCCCAAGTGCTGTGTATATCTATCATAGCTACACAAGCCGTAGCGCGTACCATTTTGAAGGCTGGATGGAGAAGCATTTTCGTAGTTGAGCATATGTAGGCCGACGAGCACAAAAGCAAGCAAGACGTTCCTTTCTCCTGACTATGTTCCCCCATGTTCTGTTCGTGACTGGCGAGATGTCCTGCCCGAGCTGATTTCTTGTCAGGGGAGGCAAGAGATTAACAGAGGATATCAAGCTGTTGCCAAGTTCTGGGCTCTGTGATTGTGCGGAGACTGCGTAGTGCCGTAATTCCGGAATCAGCCGCCTACGTAAATCACGGGAAATTGTGCACGTGCTCAAGCTCCTCACTTCACGATGCCGACGGCTAGGTCGCTCGTTACTTTCACTAGCGCAGCGTGCCGTGCAAAGAGCTTCCGACAGAGAGGCAATGCTCTCGTCCCGCCTTTAAACCAATTGCACGTCCCGGGAGTGAATTTGACTCGTATCCCAACGCGTTGGCATGCAAGTGATGGTGTTCATGCATGGTAATTGCACGCCCAAGCTTGCCTACCCCTCGTTCTCCGTCATAGCTGGACAACGCGGGGCAGAATGAGCATCAGCTCGCTGTCACGCCCCAATAAAGCCACGCGCCCGCTTCAGAGCCCGACACAGAGCGCGCGACCCGATCGCCCAAGACCTACAAGAAGTCCCTTCGCGACCCACACGGTAGTCACCGTCCTTGTTCTGCTGCTAGCGCTGGGTACCGGTTTCTTCGCACCCCACTTCTCCAACGCCGTCTTACGCACTGTTATCAACAAACAAGTTCCCTCCTTCACCCTCCGGAATCCAATCGTCCTCCAGGAACCGAGTACTTGCCCGAAGCCTGAGCAGCAGGTCGAGTTTGTCGGTACCTTCAACACCCAATACAAGCGCAGCATGACACTCGCAGACCAGGCGAAGCGCGTCGCCGCGGAGTTCGACTTCGACGACAATGCCGTCAACAAGGCCGTCAAGGAGTTTATTCGGGAGATGGGTACGCACGAGAATATGGAGTGGGCAACTGGTCACTGACGACGCGCAGACGAGGGTCTAGAGAAGGAAGGCACTGAGATGAGCCAGATCCCGACATACGTCACTGCCGTCCCCAATGGCACGGAAAAGGTATGGGTCCTATATGCGCCGGTCTTCACCGTCATCTAATGCTGTACAGGGCCTCTACATGGCCGTCGATCTCGGCGGGACCAACTTCCGCGTCTGCTCTATCGAGCTCCGCGGCAACACCACCTTCTCCCTCACCCAGAGCAAGGTAGCCATCCCCCGCGAGCTGATGGTCGCGAAGACATCGAAAGAGCTTTTCTCCTTCCTCGCGAAACAGATCGAAGCCTTCCTCAAACTGCACCACGAAGAACACTACGCTGGAACACTCAGGCGCAGAGACGGAAAGGCAGGCGAGCCAGAAGATGAGGAGATATTCAACCTGGGCTTCACCTTCTCATTCCCTGTACACCAGATCGGAATCAACAAGGGTATGCTGATGCGCTGGACAAAGGGCTTCGACATTCAAGATGCGGTTGGCAAGGATGTATGCGCTCTGCTGCAGCAGGAGATTGACGAGCTCCACCTCCCTGTCAAGGTGGCTGCGTTGGTGAACGACACTGTCGGAACTCTCATGGCGCGCTCATACACTTCGCCCGGAAAAACTGGCACATTACTGGGTGCCATCTTTGGAACTGGTACCAACGGAGCCTACGTTGAGAAGCTGGACAAGGTCAAGAAGATGTCAAAGGACACCAGCGATGGCGCATACGACAAGTCAACCGGGGAGATGATTGTCAACACTGAGTGGGGCTCGTTTGACAACTCTCTCCGCACTCTGCCCAACAGCCCCTACGACGTTCAGCTTGACAAGGACTCTGTGAACCCTGGAATCCAAATGTTCGAAAAGCGCGTGTCGGGCATGTTCTTGGGAGAGCTTCTACGTCTTGCCCTGCTCAGGCTCATCAAGGACCCCAATGTTCCGCTTTTCACTGACGACAACTCGTCTTCAAACGATGTCCACAGCACCACTCAAATTCACGACGATAGCCCGATATGGAAGCAGTGGGGTCTCGACACTAGCTTGCTCAGCGTGTGCGCTGGCGATGACAAGCCTGGCAACCAGATGCTCCGACAGGAACTTGATAAGTATAAAATCTCCGCCGCCAGCAAAGAGGACGCAGAAGCAGTCCGCGAAATCGCTGGGGCAATCGGTCGCCGCGCGGCGCGTCTTGCTGCCGTCGCCATCGCCGGTATTGTCATCAACACAGGTCGTCTGGACAAGTCCTCGGGATCAGCTACCACAGAGCAAAAGTCAGGCATTGAGCCTGCACGTGGGGATGTCGAAGCCACTGAAGGCGACGAGATCGATGTCGGTGTCGATGGCTCGCTCGTTGAATTTTACCCCAACTTTGAGAAGTACATCCGTGAGGCGCTACGTGCGGTGCCCGAAATCGGTGCAAAGGGCGAGAAGAGAGTCAGGATCGGTATCGCGAAGGATGGATCCGGTGTTGGTGCTGCGCTCATTGCGCTTGTTGCTGGAAAGGTCAACGCCCCACAGTAAGTGTTGTTGCCTGGGGCATCCATGATATGACGACTTAAGCATGTTGGATATATAGCACAAAAGTGCCTTCTTCTGTAAATGGATCTGGGAGATGTGTAATTACATCTAACAACATATAAACTTGTTCTCTGGGTTTCGCTCGACGCTTTAGCTGTGAGGCATGCGAATAACTACATTCTTTGTTCATGTTGCCTGTATGGTTCCTTTGATGGAGCAAATCGATGACGCATAATGCGTGGACCCACCCCACCACTGCTACCAACCATTAGGTAAATCGTTCGCAGCGTGACCCCGTGGAACCGGTTAACATTCTTTGTGTCAAACTTCCTTTGGCAAACTTCGACTTCGCAGATGTGCCGTAGTTGCGTTGAGTACTAGTATTATCTTACGTGGAATTTGCTCATCAACAAATCATAGCCCGGCTGGCACAATTGGTTAGCGCGTGAGACTTTTAATCTCAAGGCTCAGGGTTCGAGTCCCTGGTCGGGCGATGTTCTTTTTGCTCATGCACGCTACGGTAATGCTCACAAAGTATCGGAACGAAACAGTCTTTTTGCTCATGAAGTTTGTATGGAATGCTAGGTTTGCAGACGGTAGGTACATCAGTCGTAGAAATATTTTTTTTACTATCAAGCACAACTTCTACAACCCCCAACCTGATATGCGTCGCGCAACAACTTGTTGTTCGTTAAAGATCTATAAAATTGACTTCTCCTTGTCAAGTATGTGCTGTTTAATCACCTTCTTCAACTGATTCGCAGCGTTCTTGCTCTGATCCAACAGTGCATCGCGGTCTAGGTTGAGCTTTTTCATTCTGTCCAGCGCAATAGCTGAGAGAGAATGCCTACGTCGGTCCTGATATTCCTCGTTATCAACCTGTTGCCAAGTTCGCACCTGGTCGTACGGCAAGAAATCCGTGAACACGGTATTCGTTCGGTGGAAAGATGGTCTGCGGCCGTGACTTGGATGTCCAAGTGTGTTATTTTGATTGGAAGCTTCGTCTGCGCTTCTTGTAAGTGACTCTGCACCCACCCCATCTATTATCTCTATGAGTGCCTTTTGCGCTGTATCTGGGAGCGGCTTGCGTTTGATGAGGAATGCCGTTGCGCGTGGAGATGGTCTGAGGTGCAGCTCGCCGTCTAAAGGTGAGGTAGGCTGTGGTGGTGCGCCCGTATACCCAGCCTGTAACACAGCGAGGTTACTCTCCGTCAGCTGCTTTACGCTTTCGAAGCGCTCGATGAAACGAGTCTGCCTAGGCTTTGGAGGCATATCGGCGTATGCAGTACGAAACGATTGCTCTGTGCCGGAAGACTCACTATCATAGTCGTTTGACTCGCTTGATGTTCTTCTCATCAGCTTACCGGACTCTGAGGAGTTCAGCTCGCTTGATGGCGTGGTAGAAGGTCCATGGAATGCTGCCATGGCGGTTTCGAAGTTGGAAAGTTGAAGTCGACGGGAAGTTTGTCGTCGTCTTGGTGGATATCTTTCTGAGTAGCACCTGAGACCCTGCAGTTGAAAGCGCGCAGTTGCGTTGAAGTGACTGGAATGTGTTTTGATCCATTGTGAGGGAGGAAGAATATGATAATATACCATATGTATGATCCAGGTGATTCCGCTGCGTGATGGAACTCTGTGCTAGCGACAGGTACTTGTGCTCCGACTGTTTCACCGCTTATTTCAGCTGAACGCGGCTTTTCCAGTACCCTCGCCTGGTTCTAGAAGGCAAGTATCTGGCTCCTGAGACGTCTCACTTAACGCAAGAGGTCGGTACCCATGAGTAGAGAAGACCTAGCAGGTTGAGAACGTTGAGTTGATACAGGCGAATCTTCGGGTTATGATCCTGCACCTACTTACTGGTGATATTCGCGTTTCCGTGCAATGTTTGTTTGCCCCAATACGTGATCGGCCTGGCTCTTTCACCTTCACTTTCTGACTAGGTTAACCCGGATCGTACTATTTCTAAACATCGACACCTACTCCCCTTTCTTCCACATGCACGACATGACAGCCATCTATACCAACATCAAGCCTCTACCATGGGTCGAACCGAGTTTTGGCTTCTCATCATAATCGCGGCACTCGCTCTGTACATCCCATACTTTCACCTCAACGCCTCGATAACCAGAGTCAAAAACAAGAATCGTTCATCGCGAACACGCATATCCAACGGATTTGACTTTCATGGTAAGCAACCCCAGGACACAATGACCAACATCAGGCTCTGACGTTGCTGCTTCACCCACAGATCTCAGGCAGGTGACTCTGGATAACAGCTGCACTATCGGTATGATGTGGGTCGGCGACACTCGTGAGGGCTTGCGCAACGATCCTGGTCCCATGGATAGGGAACCCGCGACTGCTTCAGTCAGCATCTGCGCCCCGGTACACTCTGGATGTCTCCAGTACGTCGACAAAGAGGTTGGGCGGTCACCGAATGGGCGTGTGATGGTGGTCCCGTCGACCATTGTTGGTCTAACCAGAGAGAATGAGGACATGGACTGAGTAACGGAGGGTGATATTGGAAGAATCTTCGTCAGCTGAAGTAGTTAGTCTATTTGGATTCCGAGGAGACACATGTGTTGGTAACGGGTTTATGGCTCGATCGATGGACGGGTTTTTCCTTCACTGAGTAGAATGCTAAATGATAGATCCATTTGTTGAAGCGCAATCGCTGTACTGGAAACAATCAGATCTTTGCTTTAGGATGGAATGTGATGAAGAGCGCGATCAGGCGTCGACGTGTGGGCTGCCAAGCTAGCCCACCACTTTACGCGTCGGCCGGACGCGTCCAACTCACCATCCACCGATAGCCGCAAATTCACGAACAACACCACGACGTACCCAAACAATGGCGCTCCTAGTAGACAAGCATAGACCGCGCAATCTTGAGGCGCTCAGTTACCATCCCGAGCTTTCAGATCGTCTCCGAGCTCTTGTAAGGAAACCTTTAAATGCCCCATCGATTGCGGCAACTAACGCAACATTGTGTAGGCACAAAGCGGCGACTTCCCACATCTGCTCGTATACGGTCCTTCCGGCGCAGGAAAGAAGACGCGCATAGTCGCCACACTGAAAGAGCTCTACGGCCCCGGTGTCGAAAAGATCAAGATCGACGCGCGCGTCTTCCAGACTACCACGAACCGCAAACTCGAATTCAACATCGTGGCTTCCGTATACCACCTCGAAATCACACCTTCAGATGTCGGAAACTACGACAGAGTGGTCGTCCAAGACCTGCTCAAGGAAGTTGCACAGACACAACAGGTCGACTTGGGCGCAAAGCAGCGCTTCAAGGTCGTAGTGATCAATGAGGCAGACCATCTGACGAGAGATGCGCAGGCGGCGCTGAGACGTACTATGGAGAAGTACAGTCCCAACTTGCGATTGATTCTGCTCGCCAACTCTACGAGCAACATCATCGCGCCCATCAGGAGTAGGACGCTACTTGTGAGGGTTTCAGCGCCTACAGAGACCGAGATCTGTAGTGTGTTGAGCAAAGTGGGCAAGAAGGAGGGATGGAAGGATGTCGAGAGTCTGAACCAGAGGATAGCGAAGGATAGCGGGCGAAACCTGAGGAAAGCGCTGTTGATGTTCGAGGCAGTGCACGCTCAAAAGTATGGCTTCATCTCCTTCTACACCCCCAATCTCATGCTAACGTGTCAACAGCGAGAAAATCACAGACCAGACGCACATTCCACCGCCTGACTGGGAAGCACTCATCCAGCAAATCGCCCGCCAAATCGTCGAGGAGCGATCTCCTCAACGCCTTCTGCAAGTCCGCGCGTCACTCTACGATCTGCTATCGCATTGCATCGACTCCACGACCATCATAAAAACGCTTACCTGGAAACTCATACCAATGACGGAAGATGCGCTGAAGCCTGAGGTCATCAAGTGGGCAGCGTTCTACGAGCACAGGTGTAAGATGGGCGCCAAGCAGATCTTCCATTTGGAGGCTTTCGTCGCAAAGTACATGAGATTGTACGAGAGGTATGTACTGGACTCCAGAAAGTCAGGCCTACACTAACAACTGTCGCAGCTACGCCATGGGCATCGATTTCGATTCATCATAGTCGTGCATTCACACACATACGGTCCAGACGTGGAGGAAAAGTAGATAATGTGTCATCATACCAGGGTGTTCTGGCGCTGCAGAGCGCGTCTCGCGTTCGGCGTTTGGTGGTTACGTCATAGCATGGAGCTTTCCCCATACCTCGAGTTTCTGAGCTTCAATACCACTACCACCTCACACAATCCAAATTCTTGTACACGTCCTCCGCACACAAATCTTTCCATACCCACGAAGAACAGTTCCATACGTGCAAACATGTCAGACAAACTCATGGACACCGAGCCCGGCGGCGAGCGCCAGAACCAGTACGAAGGCGTTCACACATTCGTTGAGCCTCACACGAAGGAAGCCGGTCAACTAGGTGGTATGACTTCCTCCCTCTCCCTGTCAATGTGCAACTGCTAACCAATGGCTTCCGCAGATCCCTCAACAGGCACCTCAGTCAACAAGAAGACCTCCGACCCCGGCGCGCCCAACACCCAAGGCATTACCCCCGCAGACAAGATTCGATACGGACAAAGTATCCAAGAAGGCGGTATGGGTGGTAAGACAACAAGCTCAACGGGCCAAGCGAACGCGGAAGGTACGTCAACGGCAAATAGATGTTGTAGTTGTGCATGGCAGGCTAATCATGAGCAGGTGGATTCGGCGGTACTGAGGCGTTGAAGGACGATGACGAGAATGCGGCGAAGCAGAGGAGAGAGCAAGGGTACGGTGGAGACAAGGATATGGACAGGACTATCGGCGCATAGGGGCAGAAAACTGGGCTTCACGAAACAAACGATGTGAGGACTGCATGCAAATCGACTATGATTGCTTGGAGGATGGCATAGGCTCAAGCAGGGCATGGACACGTACACTACTATACATTGATGATACAACTTGAGCATCCTGTCTTAGAATGCTCGTCTTATCATCAGTCCCAAACGCCATCGCTATGCAGCCAAACCCGTGCGTTACTCATACAAAAAGCGTCTAAGAAAAAGGAGGGATATCTGAGCAGAGATCAAAACCAGATCGAGAAAATGCAAGAACCTTCCACACGGGCTAATGAAGCCAACCTCAACGTCTTGTTGCATCGTCAGCCCTCTGCTCGACCTTAGCCAACTTCCTCGCCAACGCTCTTTCTCTTTCCATGACACTGGCTAGTGTGTCACCTCTCTTCGTTATTCCTCCCAGATCCGGTGCTCCGGTCGGCATCGTGCTGCCCATGTCTCCTCGGCTGACCCCGTTTCTACTGCCACCACCCCACGCACCAAGGCCCCATCCTCCGCCTGGAGCTACAGTCGGCCTGGTTGGCTCCCTGCTAACGAGCGCACCAGGTCCATGGCCATACATGCTGACCCGTTGTACCTTTCGAAGCCTCGACAGACCGTATACAGCGACAAAGAAGCCGAAGACTGAACACCAGGCGCTTATACCGAAGAAACCAAGATCGGACTCTTCGATGAAGTTCTTCAAGTTCATACCGTATAGAGCGGCGACGAAGGTTCCGGCTGTGATCGCGAGGGTAAGGATCGAAAATTTGAGGTCGAGAAGCATGAGGGAGTTGCGGTTGGCGTCGAGAATCGCTTTGACGCTGTGGAGAGTTAGTGACAGGAGACTGTACGAGAAGAATAGACCACATACATCTCCTCGGTGTTCCTGATGCTCGACACCAAGTTCTCAGCTGCTTGAACGATTTCGTCGGCGACCTTGTGGTAAGATTCCAGGAGCATCTCAACTTCCGTGTGATCGTCGTCTTCGCGCGTCTTTCCCTCAGCCTTCTCAGTCAAGTACATGGCGCTGAGATCATCGTCCGCTTCCAGCAATTCTTCGAGCGCATTCCTGACTAGTCGTGCCTTTTGTTCGAAACTACCCAGCTTCTTACTGTAGATGAGCAGGTACCGCAGCTTGTCCCTGTCTATGTCTTCTTCCAACTCCCTGAGAACTCTCACCACCGGCTCACTGACACCTTCGAACTCCTTCTCCAGACTCAGTGTTACGCTTATGAGGACAGCTTCAAGTGCTCGGAATTCGTAGGCGAGGGTGCCGTTGACTGTGGACTCTTTCTGGCGGAGTTTGAGATCGAGGTCGTACATAAAGACAGACTGCGACTTTGAGTCGGTGGTGCCGTAGGCGTCGAAGACAAGTACGCGGTTGTGCTTGAGGAGGACACGAAGGTTGAGGAGGTTTATCAGGATCGCAGACGGCCGGACGAGAATATGTGGGAGGAGCGAGGAATCGATTTTGCGCAGATCGCGAGGAAGT